TCATTGAATTTGGGTGAGAACTCAAAGTCTTATAAGATTTTGAGGTGATATTACTGAAACCTCACTTGATTGTTTAAAATTACGATGAGGTTTTCGTAATGGCACCTGAAACGGGTATCAACCTTTGCTCTGTGGCAGGATTGAAGGATGAGCTAACATCCTATCTGTCTTTTAAGCATGGGTGGGATCCAAATTTTTTAACAACCGGTTCTGTGGGTGTGGCTAGGTAGGTGTGGCTAGGTGGGCAAGACCATGTGACTGGGTGGGCGTGGCTTCTTCTTTTTTGCAGCAACACCCCATTTTTTTGCCTTCTGGGCCTCAGGGGAGCCTCCGGGGGGTGGTTTGCTCCCAGAAGGCTTCCCCAAGGCTCAGGAAGGCAAAGAACGGAACATGGGGGGGGGGGCGCAGCTTCCCCCCCCACAAGCCCCCCTTTGCCTCCTGGGCCTCAGAGAAGCCTCGTGGGTGAAGCAGTAAGATAGTGAAGGGAATCCCGGCACAGATGATAATCGGAACAGCTGGTTGTCAGGAGGGCAAAAAAGGAAATACCTTAAGGAGTGACTGGGTGGGGGAGAACGCAGTCAGCGATGTCGGGCATGCGTGATAAGGACTGACTGGGAGGGGAGGGGCAGGCCGAGAGGGGAGAAGCCAGCCAGGAGCACGATTTGCCGGTTCTCCGAACTGCGCAGAATCACAACAACCAGTTCTATAGAACCAGTCTGAACCGTTAGAATCCCGCCCCTGCTTTTAAGGCTAACATCCCATCTGTGACACTCCATAGTGGCAGCCCAGGCCAGGTCACCACACTGCAAGATCACATTTTATCAACCCCTTCATGGCAGGGGAAGGTTACTGCAAAATCCTATTCCCTCCCCACCCCACTAACCTGCTTTCCAGCTCCCTTCTCCTGTGCAGGGCAGCAAAAGAAGACCCAGCCAGTCAGCTGGGACTCGGGAGGCAGAGAAGAGATGGGGTTGGCAGGGCCAGTCAGAGGTGGGATTTCAAACTACTCAAAATGTCCACTACTGGTTCTCCAGAACTGGTCAGAATCTGTTGAATACCATCTCTGCAGAGGCTTCTGTTTTATCACACAAC